CAAAAATAAAGACAACCGAGTTTCGATGATCGTTGCCTTAAGAAGGAGATGGCGCTGTCAGTTCTCCGGGAAGCGTTTGAGAATGCGGTCATCTCACACATGATGGTCCGCCGGTACGTATACTTTATCTTCTGCCAGAAACCTGCCTGTTTGGCTATCGTTGTTGTGCTGTGCGTGCTGTGCTTGTCAGTCCGATGTGCCCTATGGGGTGCTGCTGAGCGGTGGGCTGGACTCCTCGCTGGTTGCCTCCATCATGTCGAAGAACAGCCGCAGGTTGACTTCCGAACTGTACGCGAAAGCACGATTAGTTGCCTTGACACGGAGGAAGTGCGAACATGGACCGGCGTCCTGGCCACAGTTGCACTCATTCAGCACTGGCCTGAAAGGCAGTCGGAGCCTCAGAAATGCCCGTCTGCCTTCGAGTCGACTGCTGCCGTCGCCAGGCCCAGACCTGAAAGCTGCAAAGGAGGCGTGACTTTGCATAGCTTTGCCTATAGTGTGAAGTGACCTAGCTGGAGTGAAATTAAACATGATTCTGAATGAGGCTAAGTGAAAATGATGAAAGTTCACAGCTCGCAGGTTGCTTCCTTCCTCGGGACGGTGCATCACGAGTACGTCTTCACAGTCGAGGAAGCCCTGGATGCACTGCCGGATGTACGCAGCTTACGACGGACTCCCCATGAGACCTGCACTTCGCAGTTGCTCATTTGCAGGTGATTTACCATTTGGAGACCTTCGACGTCACCACTGTGCGTGCATCCACGCCAATGTACCTCATGGCTCGCAGGATCAGGAGCGGCACTTTGGTCCGCCGCAGCTGTGCTGCGGATTCTCCTGTTTGCTTTGCCAAGACGTAGCTGCCGTCAGCTGAGTGCAGGGCTTCGGGCGTGAAAATGGTCCTCAGTGGCGAGGGCGCGGACGAGATTTTTGGAGGTTCACTGGTCCTTTTGCAAGCTTCATAACATGGATGCTTCAGATGTATGAGTGCCAGTGAGCGCCTGACCAGCCTCCTGCAGGATACCTCTACTTCCACAAAGCACCGAATGCCGAAGAGTTCCATGCCGAAAACTGCAGAAAGGCCTCGCAGCCTCTCGTGATGCAGACATGTCTAGTTTGATCTTGCAAGCCCTTGTGGGCCTTGGTAGAGTTCTCCCAGCCGAGCCAGCCAGCGGCAAACGACGAAGAAGTGAGTGGACAGAAAAGCCAAGACACCCTTGTCAGGATGTCTTCTCAACCTCGATCTTTACTAAACCTATCGGTCTTGCCGGAGGCCCTCTTAGCAAACCGCAGGCACGGGACGACTTCGGTCCCTCAACAGGCAAAACATCGTCAGGACTGTTTGATTCGCCTTTTGGGCCAAGAGAGAAGCTCGTCACAGAGCACTGCCGGACTGGCCCTGCCTTTGCCCTCCCAACGAATGTCCAAGCCACATCTTTCGCCCCTCGCCCCTCGGCATGTCTGCTGAAACCGCCATCTTCTTGCGAAGCCTGAAAAGCTGGTCTCTGCATCCTCTTGCCCTGAGATCTCGCAGCTGCACCTGTACGACTGCCTTCGAGCCAACAAGGCAATGATGGCATGGGGCGTCGAGGCATCGAACACCCTGCACAACCTGCGAGCAGAAGCCCAGCTTGACCAGGCTCGAGTACCCTTCCTGGACAGGAAATTCATGGAGGCCTGCTGTCAGCGGCCAGGCCAGCTTTGGTAGCACTGTTCGAAGCACATTGCTGCCAAAGGCTGCGATGGGCTTCAACCCCGTTCAGAAAATGTGCAAAGACTCGGTTGCTTGGCTTGCTTGTCGTGCGAGGGCTCTGCCAAATGTATGTTCGCGTTCGAAGAGGTTCGTACTCAACTTGAACCTCAGCAGCTTCCCACCTTTGACTGCCAAGGCTGGCCAACCTCGCACTGAGAAGTGGATTCTGCGGAAGGCATCTTTCTGCGAATAAGCGTCTAGAAGATAAGTTATTGAAGCTGTGTCGTCGGCACCTCTTGTGTCTCTCCACGTTCTGGTCAGGCCTTCGACTTGCCAAGTGAACGGGCCTACTTGCCACAAGAAGTTCTATGGCGACAGAAGGAAGGGTGACGTAGGAGTTGGCTTTGCCTGGAAGACTGAAGCTCTGTCCCGAAAGCTAGCTCTTCATTCAGGCGCTTGCAACAGTCGATGTTTGTTTAAATCAGACAGCGTTCAATTGCGACATTGCTTGGTAGAAACTTAATGTCTTTCATACGGAGGGCTCCCCAAGGACTCTGTAATGGATTACTTGCAAAAGTCCGGGAGGCGCCCACAGCAAGCGAAACAGTACGCCACGCAGATTGGTTTTGACCTCGTGCATGGGTCAGCTTGCTTCTCTTCTCCGAGCTTGCGTAACCCCCTTCTGAAGTGCTTCTATGCTGTGTGCCGCTCAAACTTCTGGCTGAAGTTGCAGGAGCAGTTTAGCGACGGCGTCGGCTACAGCTGGATTGATTCCATCAAGGTGGCAGCATAGCGGTGACCTGCGGCCTGTCAGTGCTTGCCGCAAGGCCCATGCGGAGAAGATGATCACTGATCAGCCCCTCGACTGACGCGGTTTTGGAGGCCGAAGCGTGCAAGCACTGAAATCAGGCAGATGGCAACCGCGCCTCACAGTCGCTTAGAAGCACAGAGGGGCCTTCCATCCTGGGTCCTGGTGCTTCGGTTCAATTCTTGGCATGACTAAGGATTTCCGGTCAAGACCCCGCGTACAAAGGAGGCAACAAGCTTGAGATGCAATGGATCTTGTTTTAATCTGCTACTGTGCTTTAATTAGTTAGCGTTCGCCTGAAACCTGCATACCCCGACCCGAGGCATACTTGTTCCGGCAACTCTTCGCCAAGCACTACGGTGAGAATTCGGCAGCCGCTGGATGTGCATCGGCCCTAGCGGCCTCGCAAAGTGTGCAGCAAGCACATGATGCCATGTCCGGTTCACATCTTCATCTCAGGTGGGTTGGCAAGATTCGATCGCATGCTCCAGTGAGGCGCAGCCTTGGAACTCCCTGACTGATCTGATAGTGCCTTCACAGCACGCCAGGAAATCAGCTCAGCTTGTGGGATCCATGCTTGTCAGACGTTCTCTGTCATTCTTATTGGTGTAATTGCGCATCACAGGATCAGGCTAGATTCTGCTTTACTTTCTAGCTCGGGCGCCGAAGCTGCTTGTTTCATGACTTCGTGAACCGCTCATGCTGCAAGACACCAGATAGCCCGAGCTTGTGCAGACTTGGAGCGACAAGGTCCAAGAACAAGTTGTAGCATAGCTGCCTAGTGTCGACGGTTCTCCTGCTGGTAAGGCTTTCAACCAGAATCTCACGCAGGTTGCGCTGAAATGGGACAAAGCATTTCAGGGCCGTGCAGATGCATCTGGCCGTGCCAAGGCCCAAGTTCTGCCATCCCACATGCAAATAAGCTGGCTATGTGCAAGACGTGATATTGACCGACATCCGACTTTCCTCAGCCCTGGATAACTTGACAGCCTCGTGTTGGGCTTGGCTAAGGCAGTTGCAGGCGTTCACGTGCAGGCTGATCTGCACAGCAATGAGGAGTTGCAATCGCTGTAGGTCAGTGAAGCGCCTGCAGGCCTACGGTGAGACCTACAAGACTGCATCTCAATCGCTGATGCCCCAGCCGGGCCACTTCTGGACATTGTGATAGCACTCTTGAATGCAGAGGCAGTTCTGACCTGATAAAGTTGTGAACAATTTGCACGGTGTCCGATGTTGTGAAAGGGAGCCCACCGGCGCTCACACACTTCCTTCTGTCACTGCTGGGAGTGCGCCTGTCCGTACCTGCGCCAAGCAAAGAAGAACGCCCTCATCAGCGAGCAGAGGTTCGCACTTGTTCGGCTTTTCATTTCCCAGCGATTCCCACAGTCTGAACAAGAAGCCTCCTTAATTCTTCTTGTAGTTCGTGAATGTTCAAGAGCTTGGTGGTTACAAGGTGTAGCACGCGCTCAAAGTGCCCATGTCATCGTACCTGCACAAACCGCGACAGGTGGACACTAGAATCTGATCGGGAATGCGTGCTCTTGTCCGGATGTGCTGTTACCAACATGGTGTATGCATGTGCATGCATAGGTCGCAAAAGGGCTGGAATCCCCGGCCTTCACCAGGGGAGATTACAACCGCCTTGAGGCTTTCCACTCACACTGCCTCCGCAAGATCCCAACCGGGCATAACAGTGCACTTGCGTAGCTTGGCACCGGGCTTCCAAAGTCCTCGATGGATCTCGATGGCTCACAGCCCTACCTTTCCATATGCGTACCTATGGACTCACAGATTAGCTGTAGACGGCCACTTTGGAGCTGTCTAGTGAGGCTGCCAACGTGCAAGACACTCCTCACAGCTAGCTCCTTCCACTGGCTTGAGTTCGCTCGGGGTTGCTGTGTGAGCATTTCATATATCCGCCCAGCTGTGCAAGTATATATGAGAGTGGGTTGGTTAGGGGTAGTGGGTTGTCGGGGTGGTGGTGGTTTAGCTGGTGGTGTGTTGTTGTGGTTCAGTAGAGCAGTAGAGCAGCTGTCTCTTCTGAAGGTCAGGCGCTGCTGAGAAAGTTGAGCCTGATGCGAAGAAGGCCATGCGTCAACATAGGGTTCCTGTTCCATGCTGTCGGCCTGCACAAGCATGAGTGAAGTCATCTTTAGCAGTGCTAAGGCACGCACTGCCTGTGCCCTGACAGCCTTTCTGGTTGTTTCTCAGTTCGTTCTAGTCGCGAAGTATTCGGTCGACTTGCCACCCAAGGATCAGCCACCTCCGACCCCACGATGCATCTTGAAGACCAGCGAGGAGCTCTTAAGACTGCTCTGCTGGGAAGCCTTCCGCAAGATAACGCAGCATGGCGTCCTACCTGGAAGTCCCTGTCGCTCCCCAAAACCCGCAGCTTTCGGTCTCAGCACGAAATTCAATCGCCCGGCAATCAAACTTGCGTTGTAGCTTTTTGCAACTGGCACTACGGCATCAAATTCTCGTGACCCCTTTAGTCCCTGCGTAATGGACCTGTCGGCTGATGGTTGGGCACAAGAGCCGGAGTCCGGGCCTCAATATCGCAAGCTGTACCGGATGATGTTTGGCCACCCGTTCTTCCGGGCCTTTCCAAGTTCGTTGGAGAGACGAATTTCTCGCACGGAGGCAGCAAGGATTCTTGGGCGTCGTTGCCTGGCTTGGAATCTGAGAACTACATAGTCTGTCAGGCACAAGCCCAGAGACTAAAGGAGGAAGTTGCGACGGTGCTGCGTGGGTTGGACTGAAGCTCGGTGACTGTTCCTGTTTTTATTGAGCCTGTTTTGAGCTCCACATTGTCACACGAGGCTGCTCTGAAGGAGCAAGTCAAAAGCGCAGATGATCTCGCAGGGGACCCCGGGCCACAAGCTCAAAGTGCTCAAAGCTTAACTGCGGTGCCAAGCCGTGCATCGACACCGTAACATCTTAGGAGTGAAGACATGAGGAGAGAAATTGATGAAGTATTGAAGAGACAGGCATGACCCGCCGCAGTCATGTCGCCTGTGGCAAGTTGCACAGCTCGGCCAGACGGAAGTCCTCGAAGAGATGGTGAAATCCACAGAGTCCTTTCCGAGGCTCGGCGGGACAATTCTTCGAACCTCCCTTAGTTTTTGAACCAAAGAGACTCAGGGACGTCACTACATCACAGCTTTCAAGCCTTCAGCTTAGTTGGCATTTGAGAGGCGATGGGCCCAGTTCGAGCTGAACACCAGCCAGCGTGTAGAGCTTAGTTGACACTTGCTTAGCTGTCTAGCTCGACTGCTAGAGCAAAGGCTCGCAACGGGTCGTTCCGGTCTGAACCTGCAAGGCAAGTCCCTGATCTTGAGCATCAAGGCTCGCCACCTCGCCAATCGACATGACACAATATGGGATCCAAGTTGAGCATCCAGGCCAGAAAGGCTCACGATCGAGTTCTGCGAGGCCATGCTTTCAAGAGCCCAGGATGTTGGCCTTCTTTCAAGAAGTTTTCTGCAGGAGATGGTTCGCCTTGAAGATGAGAGCCTGAAAGCTTGGGCCAATGCACTGCCTGGGCGGCTGCGCCGCATTTGCCACGCGCGGTTGCAGCCGATCGCATCAAAGCTGCAGTGAGCGGGACGCAGCACGTGCCAAACGGCACAGTGCCGACTTTGCGAGCGGACGAAAGTGCGATGCTGGCTAATGGCTGCGCATGTTTCAGACATGCTGTGTTGCTTTCGACTCACAAGCCGCAGGCTCCAGGACAGCTGGCACATCTCTTGAAGGCTTATCAACACACGTCTCCGGTAGTTGCATTTTGACAGATGCCTCTCGAGCATCGTTCTTTTCACTCGGTGACGTCGTCTGGATGTTTTTAGAGTGATTTTCCGTGCACCTTCAGGTCATAGCCAGTGTATGCATATGGGCAGTGAGGTGTTTTTCTGCGACAGACCTGGATGTGCATGCGGCGTGTGTCGATGCAGGTAAACACGGAACAAGTTCCACTCCCTCATGCCTGTTTTGTGCTGTTACCGATCTCGACACCTTCGCATGTGCCGTGCTTCTGCCTTCCTGGCCAATGATTTCCACAGCCGGTAGAGGCGAAGCTCAAAACGGAGCCAGCTGTTGGTTGACCTGCCTGGAGGGCACGGGCAGCCGATGTATAGCCTGGTATGATTGGACCATATTGGACCAGTGATGGACCTTTGTGCAGCACTCCTGCGACCTACCTATCGTATGTGCTGTGCTTGAGTGGTTCCAAGGCGAGTGAATGCTAGAATTCTCGAAAATTCAAAGATGCTGCGTTTGAGACTCACCTCAAGCAAGGAAGGGTCTATTCAATCCCAGATGGTGAAAGACTTTCTCATGATCGAGCTTGCTTAATCAGGGCCGACCGTCACTTGCCCAACTGAGCATCCTCCTGCAAATAGTCCAGAAACTGTAGAGGATACAGGTGCAACAGACGGGTCGCGACATGGAATGGCACAGAAACTTGTCTGGAGCTGATCGTGTTGTTGTGGTCCCGCACCAGAAGGTCGGAGATAAGCTTCTCCTTGCTTGCTAGGTACATGTCCTGTTGTTCGTGGGCTTCAGGTACCTGCCCTGCGCTGTTTGTGAAATCCGTATGTCTGCAGCTAGCCGTGCCAGGAGTTTCTGCGCAGCAGCCGCTCCAGACAACGGGGTGTCTTAGCTTGCTCAGCGACTGTGTTGAAGTGGGGAGTTGTTGCAGGTGCTGCTATTCAATAGAACTTCTATTATAGAAGGCGTTTGGCACAAGCGCAGACAAGGGTCCTTTGACGCATCGCCCTGCGCTTCTTGCGCAGTGCTTTGCATCGCCTTTCGCAGACTAGGACTAGGATTTCCCTTCCGCAGTCCCGTGCCCGACTTTACTTTCACAGCGCTCTTTAAACCCAGGTCAAGTTTGTTTTGGCTGGTGCCCCACCCCGAAAGCATTTTCCAGTTAGCAGCCATGGCCGACGCCGCCATGGCAGAGAAGGAGGAACCTGAGTGAACACCTCGGCGTGGAGTTGCCTGCAGCGCCGGAGGTACCACACGCCTCAGTCCGTGCCTCGCCAGGAATGGTGAGTGCAGAGCTCTCTCAGCAGGAGCTTGAAGTGAAGCTTTTCGCGAGTGGCAGAAGAAGCAAGCAGAAGCCAAGGACAAGGCCGCACCGTCGTCGCCACCCGAGAAGATCCAAGAAGCAGAAAACAGAGGATGAAGAAGACCTGGCGAATTTGAGGTCAAGCTCATCGACCTGGATATCAACTTTGCAGATTTGGATGCGGAGCTGCAAAACAAAAGCAGCAAGAGCTCGGGGATCGATTTGGTGGCTATTCATAGCACAGACCGTTTACAACCCGGAGGATGGCACCTGGATGCCACAAGCCACCACGAAGAAGCGAGAATTTGGAGCAATCACGGGACGTGAGGTTCCAGACATTACCGCTGAAACCAATGTACAGGAGGCCGTGATGAAGTACCATGAGAAATCAATCTTGCCTAGCCTGGCCCAGCTCCAATAAAACCATTCTTTTGCTGGATTTGCTGCCGCTCTTCAACAAGAGGACCCCGGACCAGAATACGCAATACTATCCGCAATTGACCAAGCTGCCATGGACAAGCATCGCTGCCCTACACAACCACATGTGTGGTCAGTGTGGGATTTGTTACAGAAGACCAGGCAACTACCTTTCGCGACTCCATGAGGCAAGGCCGCCGCTACTGGTGCGGCAGTGATTCCCAGGATTGCAAAATCCGCGTGGAAAACGATGTCCGCACTGATGACAGGATTGCAATGCAGCCCCACTGCGCGTCATGGGATCTGTTGGCCGAATTGGTATCAGGACAGAGCGGCGAGGAAAACGCCAGCTTGCATACGTGGAGGCAGACCTTACAGATCTGGATGCCCCGGGGCGATGACCCGAAAACCCTACTAGGCCTCGGACCCGCGGTTTGCCAGAAGGTAACGCCTGCTTACTGCCGATACATGATCGCTTCGATGATGCAGCCCTGGCTCGATGGCATGAACAATTTCGAGAAGGTTGAGAGAAACATTTTATCTACAGGCTCTTCGGCGAGCCACAGCCGACCTCACAACTGTGCAGAGAGCTTCTTATGACATCACCCGCATGCTTTTCCGTATCCAATCATGCCTGTTCGTATCTCGGATGATCTAGCGTCGATGCTTGACTCTCACCCCATGTTGCCCTTCCAGGGCGCTGGCGGCATGACGGCCCCGACGGCCCAGGCTTTCTTAGATCAGGGTTATGATGACACTGGCAAAGGGTCAAGGCTAAACACTCCGGAAAGGGTAAGCAGCCACCCAAATGCAATGATTATCAAGATTCGTGGAAGCCCCAACTTGGCCAAAGTCGCCTCTTCTTATCAGGGATGGCAGAAACATGGCAGATGGACTGATTACAACAAGCCCAAAAAGGGTAAGGACACAGGACATCATTCCCGAACCAACCGGAAGAAAGACGACGACCAAGACAATCATGACAGTTGGGGTTCAGGTTGAGGTTCTTGCTTGGGCCCCCTCCCGACCGCAGCCCACCCCCCTTTTGGCACTCCGGCCAAAGGCTCCAACCAGCAGCAGTCTCAGAGCAACAAGGCAAAGGCACTGGAAAGAGTCAACCCGTTTTCATGTGTGCTACCTGCTCATGTGCCTTAGGATATTGTATTGCCTGAGGATTTGTGTGGAAGGACACTGTCCAGTGGCAAACCCTTATCTGTCCCTGCACCAATGCTTTGCAACAAACTTCTAGGTCACACCCAGGATTGTAGCTTTTGTCAGGAACACCACAAGTACTGGTCTTCCAAACAGGTTCAAGATTCCTGGACATCCTTCCCCACGGTCACTAGGTGCATGATACTGCAGCTCGATAGGAATTTTTTGACTTGGGCCCAATCACGCAAGTACTCGAGGTCACTACACAACTCCTTGATCAAATGAAGAAGTTGTATGAATGTGCCGATTACGTTAACTTTTCTCCCTCCCCCGCAGCATGAAGCATATTGGGTCAATAGTGTCTGTTACACGGCCAACATTGCCACCTGATTCCGCCGCCCAAGCCCACTAGACTTCCCTGGAGCAACCCCAACTGGGCCAGGAAAGAGCAGCAAATTGGGGCCCTGTGTTTGATCCGGTTCTCCAGGCGACCTTTTGCATTGCATCCTGGCTTGCGCAGTATTTGAAGGAGATTTGGACCAAGCACTTCGAAGATTTAGTATCTACCTCTAGCTAGGTGACGGGGCCCGGACAGTTGATGTTTCTCATTCCTCGATACTTCTCTGGGATAGGCTCCTGGCCTCGTCCCACTGGATAGCATACGAAAAGGCCAGACAGGAACAGAAGAACCCCCGGACCTCGCGTGGACCCAACAGCTCCTAAATTAGCCAGCGCCTGGGAACGTACTTCCAGGGCGTTCTCCAGACCATTGCACAACGATTCTAGTCTGAAAGCAGGTATTCACACCACCCCCCTTTTCGATAGCAAAGGGTTGGCGCTTCGGCAGGATTTGGTTCCCTTCTCTGCGAACGGAGTTTTTGGTAAATTGCTGCTGCCTACGGGGTTCCCTTATGTTGGCACTGGCTCACATGGAAAGCCGCTTGGGCAATTTTTCAGGACCAGCACACTGACACCAGACACTCGTGGGTACAGATTGTTTCGGTGTACTGACTCTCAGCTTCCGGTTTGGGCTTTTTTCCAGCAGTCCTTTGCGAGCCCAGCAGCCCTCCTTGAAGCTGTGCAACGGTACTTCTGAACAGGCCAAAACAGCCACAAACACATCCGGGGCCACCCACGCGTCCGGGCATGAGACCGCCAATAGAGCACAGATTGCCATTATGCCCCACCGGGGCGACCAGATTGCCAATAGTCCCTTTGGGCACCATCTGATTGCCTATAGGAAACAGATTGCAACTATCCCTGCGGGGAACTCATTGATTGCCAATATGCTGCCATTTTGCACTGGCTCTTTCGGCCTCTTAAGAAAGACGCCCCTAGGGGGATGCAACACCAGCTCGGGGTACAGCCCCCATTGTGCCAGCCCTTTCTTCCGTTTTGCCCTCGGGTCCCCTTCGCCGTTCAGGTCCAGGGTCTTGAGAGGCCAGGTTTATGCAAGGGCACAATGTCACAGTTTGCCACGGGCCGTGGTGACGAAACCGCGGATCACTGGTTCGCTTCCAGGAAATATGAATGAATCGTCTTTTGCATGCTTGAGGGGAAATCACTGCGTCGACTTTGTAAGTGCTCTTTGGTAGATCGCACATATTCAAACTGCCCCGAAAGTGTTTCGTTCTGTCCCTACCATTGCTCAGCCCACTTTTCGCTGTGGTATTACAGACGGGGCACAAGACACTACTCAGTTTGCTATGGAAGCAAGGCCCTCAATCTTTACCAACATCTCTGTGCCGCGAGAGCCGCCAGCGGCATGCCGGGGGGCCACGGCCGGCGGCCAGCCTAACACTTGTTACGTAACTTTCTTGGTTTGCATAATGGCGCAGATCGCCAAACCGTCTATGAGGCTAGTGG